ATACTTACTGTCTGGAATTAAAGAATCCAATATTTTGTTTTGTATTCTGTAAGAAAATAGTATGACCACCTACTTTAGGGACACTTTTGACACAGCAGCACAAAGTCAGCCAAATGTTTGTAGGTTTGAGTTATAGACAGGGGAACTGTGAAGACAGGCAGTATGGGGCCATGTCCGTGCTGCCTCATGAGAGACAGAAGCTAATTCAAAGGTAGCAGTTCTGAAACTAGTAAGGGAGATTCCATATATAGATGTAGTTTCTAACTCCTTGACTTGCTTTATGAATACCTTTGGCCAAAGTAAAGTCTGATTTCTAGACATTTTTTTCATCTAATATGTTTATCCACTTTGAAATGTATCCTTATTACCTTTGTTTTTCAACTAATAGATCCTTCTTAATAATCTTCTCATGGTCAAAAATCTTATTTGGCTCACAATTGTTCTTATACCTAATTTCTGATAACACTTGAGACAATGATAAATAGAAATAATATATTACCTGGTTTAATTAAGATGCCAAGCATAGATGATTAAAACCAATTGCTTCCTCTTGTCCTTTTATAATTCAATGATATATATATATATAAATTATATCAAAATATTCTCAAGGAAGTTACATATTTGACAATTGTCCATTATTTACATATGTATATGTAGAGGTGGAATTTAGCAAAAATATATAATACATGATACTCAGAAAAAATGACTCATAATATGTTATTGGGTTGTTGGAAAAGTCTTGATGCATTGATTCATACTACAAAGAGGGAAAAATCCCTGGCAGGTATGAATATAAATTCTACTTTATAGCACTAGTCTCATGAGATATTCTAGAAAAACAAAAGGTCCTGGTCAAATAAGTTGGGGAAGCAGTGCATTGTACTGAGGATTCAGTGTTTGTTGACCTACTATAGGATATGAGAAATCCAGCAGATCAATAAATCTCTTCAGCTTTAAGCACAATCTTTATCTCACATAATGTAGAAAAAAACAATTTTGTAAAAAATCTTTAGAAATGCTGCTTTTAGTTCATGTAATTATGTATGAATACATGTCCCAATGTATTTTATAGGCTATATATTTCAAAAGAATTCCCATAAGCATGTTGAGTACATAGAGATAAATGTATCTTATACACCTTTGAATTTTTAACCTGTCCTCTAATATATTGCCTATTTGTGGTAATTGTTTACTTCTCCAAATGAAGATGCCCGAATTTCTAACTTAAGTTTCTATTAATAAAAGCATTAAGTATCAGGATTCTGAAACATCCTTCCAATTAGGTATTTCACAACACAAATTTTGATTGTCAATTTCTCGAATCCAATGTAATTATTCTCAAGCTAGTAAAAAGTATTTATTTACCTGGCCTGTGGCGGATGTTCTTCAGAGAGCCACATTTGGATGTCACATGGCTTAGGTCTATCTTCTTGGTAACAATCTGTACCTGTGTGAATCACACAAAAAATGCTTAAGGTAATTTAGATATGGTCAAGCCCCCAACCTCACACATAAAATCTAGAAACACATCCAGACTCACAACACACACAACAACATATCCAGGAACCCAAACTGAAATACATACACACACATGAAAACAGCATCTCCCACACNAAGAAGAGACAACCTGAAACTATTAGATGACAAGCAATTTTATTTTGCAAAACAATCACTATACAGCAACAAATACATTTGCAAATTTTGATTGAAAAACATGAACTAACTACAACCAGCCATTGAAGAAATGCCTTTCTATGGTAACAGGCTCTAGAATTATCAGAAGAAAGAAACCCCCCACAGATTTGTAACGGAGTGTTGGAACCTTGGAATCCCAGCATACAGAGTATACTTTTTGTTGATTTTTTTTTTCTTTTTGCTAAAGTTGAAGTAGATTTTTCATGATTGACATTTTTTAGTTTAAAAATAAGATTTTTCCTGCAGAGGAACTTGGCCTCAACCTACACACCAAGTCTAAAAATCCTAGGCGTAAAAACACAAACACCAATGCTGATTTTAGCACATCAATCTTTCAAAGAATGCCTAAAATTTGCCTTTCCAAGCCATGAATCTACCTTTTTATTATTATTTATTTATTTATTTTTTGGCTACTTTGGCCAATGAATAGTTTATATTCCTCCTTTTGTGACATAAAAAATGTAAGAAAAATTATAATTACAGCTAAGTCAGAATCAACCACATTGAGATTATTTCTTTAATAATACTGACACAATGTTATATTTTGATTGATGATCCCATTTCCTGCTGTATTATTATATGAGTATGTGGAGAAGGCCAACTACCATCAGTCCATTCTTCCATTTAACAAAGCTCTCTCTTAAACCTCTTCAGCCATACCTGGTTGATGCTGCACAGTTGTCTTGCTTGTGGGTGGGATTTCAGCCCATCACCCTGCTGGAACTCAGCAGGAGAATCCAGAGAGAGTTGGTTCCTAAGTGAACATGGCCTTTGAAACTCATCATAAACTCGGATCCTTCCTGCATTATTGTAAGGTATTCAATTCTTGGTTGCAGGTGACCCAGGGAGATGAGTTCATTGAAGTTGGCCTTTTAACTCTTCACAGCTCTGGATTACTTGTGTATCCTTAAACAGGTTCTCAAAGGCTAAAGCCAGAGAGAAACTGGCATTAATAGATCTAGAATTGGAACTATGAAGCTTTAATTTCTAGATCAGCGTATGGATGTCCCCACAAGAGTGGTGCTCAAAAAGCTTAATTTGTGCCGTTAATCTTGAGAGCGAAGGCAAGATGGGCTCCACCACTGATCCCCATAAGAAGACATTTATCCTGCGTGTTTCTCTCTTCTACTGGTACAAATTATCAGTTTCTTTTTGATAAGGTTATAAAGAATCACATTTCCACACAAAGGAAGAGCACTTATTATAATTTTGCTGTGGTTTGAAATAAACACTTGTGTTAACGCCCAATCTAATAACAGAGCTTTATATAATCATTGTTTTGGATGTGTATTTATAAGAAACTGAATTTTAATATGTAGAGCATGTTCACTTATTCTTAACTTTTATAAAAGCTTAAGCCAAGGTGAAAATACTTGTGTTTCACTTGTTAAAACTGTTCTAACCAGCTATTAACTTCTTTCAAGAGAACTTCAACCACTACCTAATACTATCAAACATGTAAGCAAATACCTTAAGTCCCCACATGACTGTTCTTCCTTCTCTTATTTTCTGGTACATTTCAAGGGAAGCTGATGGAAAAAACTCCCAGATTGGTCAAATCAAACCTCACAGCAATTATTAGGCAGGAAATAGACACATCCATAGTCCTATTTGGTAGTTTCTTACTTTTCGAATATTGTATAAAATAACTGATTCATAAATAGCTTCAGACATGTTTGCCTATGTAAAAGCTCTTAGTTGAGAATGAATGGTGCACATTTGCTCTGAGTTTCTTTTATGAAAATCAAATGGGTGGTGATATCCAATGAGTCACAAAATGGCACCCATGTATCTCTGTCTGCATTTCTTGGCTGCTTTCTTAGATGCTATGGTACTTCCTTTTTGCCTCATCCATGCTCATCATTTCTTCCCTTACATTCAGGAATTGATTTGGCTCAAAGAATCAAATACCTACCAGATCATCTGCCTGTAATTGTTCAGATCCAACCCACTAGCCCTGAGCAAGAAAAAGAATAGATAAAATACTAAAATACACCCACTCAGCCTGGTAAGTCATTGCCTTATTCAGGCCATTGACTAATTCATTGCTTATTCATAAGTCTAAGATGAATGATTTCTAAGAGGAATTAATTGATTTGTGATTTCTAGACTGTATATAAAGTTAGAACAGCGTTATCTACTGATTAGTAATGTGAAGTCATATAGTATTCCTTTATAGAGTGAAATGTTGGAGTCCTGAAAAAACTGATTTAGATATCTGTATCTCAAATGTTTTGTTATTTTGTAGTTATAGCTTCTCAAAATACTGAATTTTTCCTTTCTGATCCAGGGATCTTTACTTTGGGTAAGGAAGCCAAATACCTTGTATCAGGTAATTTAATAAGCAGGTACTATTTGGAAGAATGGGATAACATGTCCCAGATTCCCGCTATTAGTTTCAACTTTAGCAAATGGAAAAAAAAAAAAAAAGGAAGAAGAAATCTTAACACGTCTTTTATGAATGATTGGAGAAATAAAACCCAAACTATTCCGTGATTCAAAATGAGATAAATCTATAATCTTAAACCAACAATCTGTAAACCCTTTTATGTATAACTGGACCCACCCCCACAAACTCCATGTTGGTGAAAGCAAAGAAAAATAAATTTTTCTAGCATCATGGGAGAGACTTGTATCTGGCACTAAAACAGGGTTACAGCTTTGAGTTGTTACAGAAAGCAACTTCATGCTAAAACTTTTTGTCTTTTTAAATGTATTTTTTTTTAAATAGGGAGCGAACCCTGCTAACATCTACTTTCACATACCTAAAATTGCAACACCAAAGGGTGCAGGAGACACAGATACTGTGAATAAGGAAGTATAATATTCAAGTATATGAGGAAGTATCACAAATGGCCACAGAGAAATATATATATATATATTTATATCTATAATACTGTATCAAACAGATGAAAAGGGGGTGTGAAACTGGTAGTGTGGACACAAATCTAGCTGATCAACTGACATTCTAATCAGACACGAGTCCATCCTAATGAAAGTGCTTCGTTCCTAGTAGAGCACTTTTATACCACTTCCTCAACCACAGCTCAAATGCATTGTACCTATCTTTTAATTAGTTAAATAATTTATTGAATTGACTTATACTCTGATATAATCATCCAGGTCCCAAATGTTAATAACTTAATTGAATCTTTCTTCCCATTTATACAAAATAACACTTAAAAAAAAACCCAAAAAGCAACTTATTTCTTACATGCTCTTCCCTTCCTGCAGTCAGACTCCTTGATTTAATTTAACCTGTAATAAGTTACAATGGGCGGCTTCTATCTTTTCACCCAGCAACAGAATAGTGAAATGAGCAGCTTTGATTTTTAACAAGGCCTTTCAGAATGTAGTGGATAGCCATCAGGCACATGAAAGGTAAAAATGCAATTTTTAAAATAATAATACTCCATGCAAAACAGAGCAGAGCAAAAATAACCGTCCAATTGTACTCATGTAAAGCCAGTGTCTTCCTGTTGCAAATGGAAATCAAGTCAATTTCTGCATATGCTACTCATGTTTTTTTGTTGTTTTTTTATAAAATTGTAACAATTACTAGAGTTTGGGAATGAGATTATTTATTTTATAGTTTGTAAGGAATGAACATAACACCTGCTCAGAGCCCACTCCTGCCAAGAGCTCATGCCTAAATATTATGACTTCAAAGCTAAATGAGAAATATTCACAAGCCCTGCTTTGCGAGTGCAGCGGTGACATCTTCAGCCAAAGTGGCAAGCTGAGGGGATTCAAGCAGGTTGATGCTTCCCGAAGAGGAGACGTTGCTGAGGCGTCGGGGGGATGCCACGCTGGATCTGCCTGGGGACTGCGTGATGATCTCAGCCCCATGGTCCACACGGGCCTTCGCGTGCTCTCTGAAGTTCAGCTTTTGGCTGTCAATCTGTTCAAAATAAGCATCAGTCCTTGTTAACTCCGGTATCTTCACTGGCCCCTAGCCTTTTCTCCCTCTTCCAGAGCTGAGGTTAATTTCACTTCTATTCAGCTCTGCCATTCCCTACTTCCCAGATGTCCAGGTCTCACTCTGGGACCCATTTGAATGAAGAGTATTTCAGAAGGATAAAAAAAAAAAAAAGACAAGGTTACCGCATGACATTGTATCTTACCTTGACATTACCACCTCCAGGTACATGGTGGGCATTGTCAAGTGAGCCGACTTTAGCTTGGGCCTTTTCTTTGAAATCCAGCTTCACACTCTCAATTTTCACACGCCCACCACCTATGAGAGGAGAAAGGCTTTGAAATGTCTTGCTAAAATTAAATC